TACCAAATGAACTAGCTTTAACTTAATAACTAGCTTTAACAGTCAACAGATTTTCTTGAATGACAAAGCATATTGCGATTGCTGAACTCTAAGATATTTAAAACTCAAATGAAATTTAAATTCCAGAGTCTTTTGTTTTATATAATTAAAAATTATTAAATTATATTATTGATTGATAAATTGATTCATATAATTAAAATTTTAGCCAAAGACGCAAAGGGAAACAAAGTGGGCATTATAACCCAATAATATAGCATTTGTATTTATACCACTACTCTCTGCGTTTTTAGTGAATTTAAACTTATTTCCGGCAAAACATTCTTACATTACTTTAACAACTATGGTGCATGGTTAACATTATTCTTTAACTCCCGATAAATGTTAATTCCCATTAGAACTTTGGGGGTATTTGGTGAATAACTCAAAAGCTTTAAAGTTTGCAAGCAAGCTCCTAAGCTTAGCTGTTTTTTTTCTTGAAAATCACATTTGCATTTTAATTTTTATAAAATACAATAATAAAACAATAAAAACATCAACTTTGACACTTTTCAGCCATTTGAAAGGCGGCAAGACAGGGAAAATGATGTCATTAAAGGCACATGCTGATGGCATTTTGAAGGCATATTACGCATACGCCGCGTATAAAGGCGCAACAGCTGTGGCATGCGTAGCATATGTGTGACAGTATATGTGTACGTGTATTTCCGTTGAGATTTGCCGTTGAACATTTTACGTGCAAATATTTTAAGCCTTTATGGCAACACGAGTTGCGTTAGGGAGGGCGAATACAAAGCTGCGCATTATTAGGCGCATATTTGTGGAGCAAGTGAAAGAATACTGTATGTACATATAAACATACATACAAATAAATGTACATATGTACATACATATATGAATAAGAATGTCGTTGTCTGTGTGCGGATATGCCGCAGCACGCAGCACTCGTGAGCGGCACGTGACTGCGTCACAGAAGTGCGTTCCATTTTTTGTGACCTCTTTTGCGGGCATTTATTAAATTTTCTGAGCAACATAATTCATGAAATTTGTTTTAGATGTGGTTGGCATTTAGCCCTGATCTTTGCTGTTCCGGCCTCTAACTGCAGAATTTTCTTTATGCATTTGCATCTTTAACTGTTATTTAATTGTATAAACTTTTTAGTCAGTCTTAATTAATTAAAAAACTTTTCAAAGCTGCCCTGAAAAAGCCAGCTCACCTTGAAAGCAAATAAAACCGCAGCCCCAAATTCAAACTGGCAGAAATTTGGTCATTTCATCTTTATACGGTAGGTGTACACTGTACACTAAGGTAAAGTCATGCCAAAGTAAAATGGAAATAAAAAGATTTGCGGGGCAATGAGAGAATAATTTTATTGGAAGGCCATAGAGTATACTTGTTTGGGACTCAAACGTATTCCATTCAATTAAAATTTACAAAATGGCGTAGAGCCCGGTTGTAGTTTTTGGCTAATAAGTAGTTAAGCTGATATATTTTAAGCTGATATTTTCGTATGTTCATGTATTTACATAAAATTATTAGACAGAAGGTAAATTGTATCCTCCATAAACATTTTTATATTCCAAAATTATGTACACTTTTTGCACGGCTATGCAAACACCAACAGGTAAATCCGGATTTGTCAGAGCGAAGCATTTTTTTTAAATTCAAACTTTCAATTTTCCACCCATGAAAAAATTACTACCCACTGATGGACTTTGACCATTTGTATGTTCAGTCAGTCAGTCATAAACATACAGCTATTTTGCTGTTTTGTTTCAGTTCTTTATCAGCCTTCACAAGATATTTACCTGTTCACAATATCCTTGTATTTTTAGCATTATTTTTCTTTTGTTTGTTTCACCTCGCAAAATCATATCCCCAATTATTCTTACAGTCATAATTAAAACAACTCATATTGTACATCACTCTCCCTTTGTTGTCTTCTCCATCCATGCCTCCAAATCTATAAACAATAAACAAAAAAAACACGTTGCCTTGACAGATTATATGCTTTACATAGAAAGCTGCAAAAATTGCAAGAGTATCTTTGACAAAGTGTACCACAAAAGCAAAAAAATGGAATTAGTAATGACACATATACATTTATTCTTTTTTTTCTTCATGTTTCCCTTCATGTACCCTGTACCTTTTCAACTGGTCAAAAAGGCATATTCTAATGGCGGATGTGCAAAAGAGGCATATTAATTTCGAAAATATCGTATTCAGAATGTGATTTTAAAAGTTTCGGCTTGCAGCTGGACAAGGAATAATGTCGCTTAGGATCTACATGTTTATGTGGCACAATTATGTCAGTAAAATGTTTCAGATTTCTAGCTCAAAAAACGAGTTTATCAATTATCAATTTTTTTTTTGGCCTAAACACGGTTAAGAATTTCAACAATAAAATATTTCGAATCTGTGAATACTTCACATTGATTAATTAACTTTCTATAGTTGTAAGTTATGCTTATTCTTAATTTATTCCGATTTTGCAAATGAGATACCGTCAAAACAAGACTAATTCTGTATATTGTAGAGGAGACTATGTATTCCAAATTTAAATATCCAGCTTTAATAGTTTTTAACTATAAAGATAAATAAAAAAAACGTTTAAAATGTTGGCTTTGCGAGCTGTGATAATATTTGTTTTTAATTGTTCGTCCTTTAATCCATTCATAGTATACAAAAATATACTTCAAAGTGTGCAGGGTACTTTTTTTCGAGCCCTACTCGACCACACCGTTCTTGTTGTACTCGTCATTGTCACACATTTGTGGCAGACAAATTGAAGATTTTTGTGTGCCACCAGTTATTTATTTTTTACTCCGTCAGGCAAATACTTATTACTTAGCAGTTCCTGTACAGGCTCAAGCATATCAAAAGCTTCTGCCAGGATTTTGTCCTTTTTGATGTAAAGTTGCTAAGCGGCTGCAAATTTATAATGCCGACAGCATGTGTGTGTGTGTTTTGTCGGTGTTGTTGTTGTTGTTGTCTGGTTGTTTTGTTTTAGCGCTCGCTGTGATTGTTGTCAACGCTGCTGTGCTTCCGTATGGGCATGTATGTGTGTGTGTGTCTATCCTCTCGCCATCTGCTTCGCTTTGCTTTGTTCTGTTTAATTTTGTGCTTGCCGTCGTATCCTGCAGCTGTTTGCCCCTCCGTCCCACTGTCCGTTTGTCTCTTCCATGTCATCAACGTGTTTTCATTAATGTTATTATTCCACATTTCTATGTTCACGTCATCTACTACACACAATACCGGTCTCTAATTTGTATGCATAATTTACGGACATGCTGCGATTCCCCAGGATTGGATACTGACGGGAAGACTCCGTATACAATTTTCAAGGGGCTTGCCCTGCCCATAGATAACTTTGTGTGTGAGTGCAGCGTGTGTCCTATGTCTGGTGTTTATTTTTTAGCTCCGTTGTGATTGACAGTTGATATTGCTTATGCTATTGTGCAGAATCTCTTCCAGATTGTTTAACTATTGGTAAGTTGATTTAGGCTAGCCAATGGACTGGTGTGTATTAGTTCGCATGTTAACTTTAATTTAATAGTTTTTTTTAGCAACAATTAAAAATTACATTACACATAGTTTCATGTTTTCCTGGCATGTATACACTTCTTCTGCTTCTTATAGTCTTCTTATAAGAAACGAGAAGTTTTGTTGATACACATATTTTTAAACAAGCATATGCTCAAACAGATAGAAATATAAAACAATTCAAGTAAATAAAGTTTTCTAGACCACGATTGAATTTAACTGCAGCTCAGTTGCCAAACTTGATAAGGCAAGTTTTGAAGCTGCCTTTGCATAATACAAATCAAGGCTGTTGCCAAAATTGAAATAGTTTCACACGATTGCCAGCCAAAATGCAATGTAATGCAAAGAAGGAAAAATAACTTGGAAAGTCGCAAGTTGCATATATGTATGTATGCTTACATACATACACTTGCACATATAAATATGTATATTTATACCCTTAACTCAAGGGAAATACATAAAGAGGGTATAATGCTTTAATTCAAATGTATGTAAAAGGCAAAAATGTCATCTTCAGCCTCATTAAGTATATTTATTCTCAATAAGCCGAGTCGGTATGTGCCTCAATTTTAAATATAGGTCCTTCTAGTGCATGAAAAGAAGGAACTCATGCCAAATTATCCCCCGTAACCATAAAGTTAATTAATATCCTGTTGTTGTCCATACCTCGAGGCTCATAAGAGCCAGAGACATCATTTTCAGTATGTAGGCTCTCTGATCTGATTCAATGATGCTGAATATGTATTATATTTTAAAAAACTCCCCTCATGCTCAGCAAATTGTATAAAATAATTTTTAGAGGTATGGCATGGCCATTTTAGCAATACACACTTTTTGTTACCATATTTATAATGGACCTTAACTGTGCAGTAAGAGATTTGTGCTTTTGTGTATGTGCGTATGGAAGGAAGCTAAACCTATTGCAACGGCAACTCGACGCAACGTTCAGAGTATCTCCTAATCGAGCACTCCCGACCAGAGTACCTTTCCCGTTTTTTAAGTATGCTATTCTTTTGCCAAAGTCAACATTTTTAGCAAAACTTTTAATTAAGGGTCTGTTCAATAAAAGACAAGAGCCAAAAAAAAAAACAAAACATTGCGACGCTTTGTTGTCGAAGAGAATGAAAAAATTGAAAACTATTTTGCCAACTGCAATCAATCTAAATGTCAAGCTGTCAATAAAATTGTCAAGTTGCAGCTGCAAGGTAGCTAAAATGCAGGTTGCATAGTGAATAGCATAGTATAGATTCTGCAAACACGTTTGCATACCTTCTTATAGCTGACTGACTTTGGCGTTTGTCTCTGACCCACAAACCGAGGAACATTTTGGGCCGGCAAGTGAGCGCAAGTCGTGTGTAAAACTTATGAGGTCTTTTATCAGCTCCATGTGGCTGACATTGATTTGATGTGCCTCGAGACTCCCCTCTCGGTTTAATATGCATAAGTCTGTAACCAACACGGTTACACTTAAAGACGATTTTAATATTGGAGTATTGCACAAAAGCGAAACGATGCCGTTCGTGGCCGCAAGTAAGCAAATACAGAAACACATATTTCACTAAACATAATTCTACCAACTACAATTTTAAACAAATGGATAAATGAATACGGAACTTTTTATGTTTATTTGTGACAGTATTGTTGGGCCTACTCGGGTTGGCACAAGCCAATCATTTTACCAGTCAGCTCTTTACAAGCGTAGCCACAAAGGAAACTCGCGATAACCTTGTCATCTCTCCCACTATAATACGTGCGTCCTTAGCACTGCTCTATGCAGGCGCCGAGGGCCGAACTGCATCGGAGCTAAAGGAAAAAATTGAATTAAATGGTAAAACCAAGGATGCTGCACTGGCAGAGTTTAGGAAGCTACCTTACCGCATACGAGCCCCGGGAATAAAGATGTTAACGGTTTTCAAGCTCTATGTTGACGCAAGCTTCAAGATTAAATCCAGTTTTAATGTCATGGCATCGAAGTTTCTAAGAACAACGATTGGAAAAATTAACTTCAAAAATGTTAAGCTGGCAGCCAAGCACATAAATGCTTATATTGAGAGTTCCACACTTCATAAATTTAGGGACACATTGAATCCCGCTGAACTCAGCAGTGTGACACAGTCATTCCTTATCCAAGGGTTCTACTTCAGGGGAACTTTTGCAAAGCCCTTTTACCGATTCAAGGAACGTAAGGAATTCTTTTATGATCCTTTTAGTAGCGTTTCTGTTGCAACTTATATCAAAGATGATGTCTTGCCATATGGAAAATTACCTCAACTAATGTCAAGCGTCATTGAAATTCCATATAAAGACTCTCAGCTGAGCCTTGTCATTATATTGCCAATTGAACGCTCATATGATCTTCATCTGCAGGAGGAATTGCTTAAAGAGAGTGGATTTCCATCATTTAACCTTAAAAAAGCTCAAGTGCGCGTTCAGATTCCTCGCTTTAAGATCGAGTACGAAACCTACTTACGTGACGCATTCGACAGCTTGGACATGAGCAGAATTTTTAATAATAATGAATTCTCTGAGCTGAGCAGTACACCTGGCTTAAGAATAACCAATATAAAACATAAGGGCCTCTTTGAAGTAATTGATGAAAGCGATGAATGTACACAATGTATTGGTGGGTATTTAAAATATAAATTTATTGTGTAAAATTGTTAAATGTTACAAACTTATCTTCTACGTTCAGAACCCTCAGCCAATAACACCGATGTACAACATTATTTCATTGCTGGCCATCCATTTATATTTGCTGTTAAAGATCAGACACAAATTTATTTCGTTGGTCGTGTTTTAAAGCCTCTATAAATTTAAAATGCAGATATGTAAGAGTTAGTTTTGATAACTTACAAAATATATATCACTGTTTAAAGCTCTTGCTATAACAGATTATGTCATTTATTTATACAATTTCTAAAAAAAAACATAGTTTATTAGGTCCCTGTTATTTGCTGACGCGATCCATTTAAAGCAAATACTTGTCAGCGATTATGCTTTATATTTGTTATAAGTATAGTATAATAACTAGTATAACATTTGTTAACGATAAACCATCACGTGAGACCTAGGTGGAACTTATTTGACGTGTCACGAGACTTTTTTCACGCTTTAATGGAAATAAATCTAGAACTAACGAGGCTTATATAAAGGAACTTTAACCTAGAACGAATTTGTAGAGCTATTGCACAGAATCAAAATGATTTTTCGCCTAGCCACACGTAAGTACCAAGGCAGCTGGACACGATAACTGGGTGTTGTGGATATATTAATTCATATCGCTTGAGTAGTGAACACTTCTAACAATTCATTTTCCTCTAGTGACTTTATGCACACTGGGGCTGGCCCTGGCGGATCTTTTTTCCAGCCAAGTGTTTTCAAGCCTTGCAACTAAGGACAATCGCGATAACCTCGTCATATCTCCACCAACGATACGTGCATCCCTCGCTCTGCTCTACGCGGGCGCCGAGGACCAAACTGCTTCGGAACTAAAGGCAAGGTTGCGACTTCGTGGCCATCCGAAGGACGTTGCCTTGTCGGAATTTAAGCAACAGCCGCTCCGCATACACACGTGGGATGTCAAGCTGTTCACGATCTATAAACTCTATGTGGACGTAAAGTACGCCATTAAGCCAAGCTTCCAAAATTTGGCTATAACTTACCTGCAAACATTAGCCGAGCACGTGAACTTCAGTCTTACCAAGCTAATAGCCCACCACATAAGTGTTTTTGTTGAGGTTAACACACTCCATAAGCTCAAGGATACGCTAAGTCCAGCTGAAATCAGCAGTATGACAAAATCGTTGCTTGTTCAAGGGTTCTACTTTAGTGGAAAGTTTGCCAAGCCCTTTCACCGATTTAAGGAATACAAGCCATTCTTTTTTGACCCTTTTCATAGCGTTTCTGTTGCAACCTATATCAAGGATGATAACTTGTTTTATGGAGATGTGCCTCTGCTAATGTCCAGGGCCATTGAAATACCATATAAGAATTCTAAACTAAGCCTGCTGATTATATTGCCATATGAGCGCACCTTTGATCTTAAAATGCAGGAGGAATTTCTTAGAAATATTGACATTCGATTTCTAGACTCTCACTTCCAAAGCGTTGATGTGCGCGTTCAGATTCCACGCTTTAAGATCGAGTACGAAACTTACCTGAAAGACGCACTGGGCGACATAGGCATCAGCAGAATTTTCAATAATAATGACTTATCTGACCTTAGCAGTACGCCTGACCTGAGAGTAACAAATATAAAGCACAGGGGTCTATTTGAGTTAAATGATGATTGTGAAAATTGTATTGGTAAGTATTCTTATTATTATATTTTCAAATCATGTATTAAACTTTATAAACTGATTTTATACTTCAGAGCCCGCAGCTAATAACAGCGACATACGCCAATATTTCATTGTTGATCATCCATTTTTATTCGCTGTTAAGGACCAGACAAAGATTTATTTAGTTGGTCGTGTGTTGAAGCCTGTGTAAAGAGTAGTTAAATGTAATCAAAAAAAATATTCCTTAATAAAATATTCAAGCACACTCCAAATGCATATTTAAGTAGGCTTTTATATATAAAAACTATCCCATAAATAAGAGATAAAATACAAGTGAGTATGGAATCATGGTTAACTATAAACATATTCTATGGAATACTTTTACCTTTCGCTTAGTTACCTTTGCACATTTCAATAACATTTTTATTTTGTTCTTCGCTTTTTGCTACACACATTCTCATGTTTGAAAGTATTTCCCTTCAATGCAGTTGACATTTTTATTAAAAGCTTTAAGTCGTAACTGCAAGGCACATACATACACAAACTTACGCTTGCTCACACACACACACACACACACACACAGACATAAAGTTGCTGCGACAGAATTTCCTGCAATGGCAACGGCTGCTGTCAACTTATTGGCTGTGAGGCACACATGCGTGAGCGTGGCTATGTCTGTATATGTGTGTATAACTGTGTGTATGCTCCATCTGCTGTCTTATGCTACAAAGTAATATTGTCAAATATGAGTTAGTATACGAAATCAGCTTTAAGTTGCCGACATCGCCTGGAAAATCCTTTTGTTTGATGCTCTTAGTCATTGCTAACAATTTTCTTTTTTTCACTGCACTAGATTTTTGTCATTGCACACACACTGAGAACGACGTTCAGGAAGAGAACTTACAGAGTTGCAATATTTTTTCGTTGTCGTGCTGACTTATGAGCTGAGAAGCAGCAGAAACAGGGGCATCATTTTTATAAGCTGCCAACGGGGAACATTTTAGCAGTGCGTGACATTTTATGAAAACTCACTTGATAAATGATTGAAAAAACGCGCACAGGGGAAATGCATACAAATAAAATCCTCAATGATATTTTAATGCGTCGCCCAAATTGGGTTGGAGCGCGTTCTAAAAGTGTCTACTAAGGCGTTGGTTTTGATAAATTAATCAACAAGAATGTCACGATTGCCCTTTATCCCAGAGGTTAGATATGAATTCAAAAATCAATCATAATGAGTCGACAGTTCTAGAAGGAACTTTTTTAATTCAAATTAAATTCGATCCAAGATAGACTCATAACACAATTTGAAACCTTCTACCGACACCATAAAGCCTAATAAATCGAGGTTGTCAATTGCCATTATAATATATCAGGCCGAGACACACTGCGTATGCTTAATATTCATGCGCCACCATTCTGGCCAACTGTTTATCGGTTTGTTTGTTCTCGGTGTGTGCACGTGTGCATTTATGTCATTCGCAATTCGCAATTGCCGAAATTTTCGCTTTCACACACATAATTCTCGTGTATAATTCCGTCGAATTTCTGACTGCAATTGCATTTGCATGCGCCCAAGCCGGAGCCTGTGCTTGTGACTATGCCTGTGCCTGTGCATGGCAGCCTACAGATTTCATTACATGCGCCGCAGAGCGTTTAAGGGGGCAGTGGGACAGCGAGGCATCTATTCTTCCATTCCTGCGATTCCTTTTCACCCGCAAGCCCCCACACCGGAATCCCTTGCACATGGCGCTTGTTCATTATGCGCATAAACATTTTGGCATCCGTTGCTGGCTGCGTTGATTTGGCGGCTGCTTTCGCATTGTCTTCGAACTGCCATGTGTTAGATATTTTTGGGGTATGCCTCCGACTCCCCACCCATTTGGTTGTTTCTGTTGTTACCCGCATTTGTGTATTTGTCGGATGTGGCATGCCTGCCAGTTGCCATCGCCTGATAATGACGGCCATGGCGAGATTTTAATTTAAGTTTCAAAGTGCAATTGGAATGCTGCATTTAAATCAGTTTGAATTCAGTTAAATGACAAAATATAAATTATTGAACATAAATGTCTTATACAATGTTTTCTTCTACTACGAATTTAACAAAATGTGATATAACATGGCATAACTCATAAATTAGTTTCCCTGGCCCACTTCAAATTACTAACATGCAATTGTACTAATTTGCATGCTCTGAAAATTGAAAAGATTAAACATAATAACAACATAAACTGAATGACATTATAATAAAATGTTGTTACACTCCCACTGTGGCTGACAGCATAATCACAAAATAATTTGCATGAAATTATAAATGAATTTGCATGACCAAGCACGCGGATATAATTGACCGCATGCAAAAACAAATTATGCAAGCGGATAAGAAGAAGAACAATAATATTGAAATTGGAAAATCAGGAATATTCAATTGGAAAATTTATTTTTCTTGAGCAGCATTAACTCATATTGATAAGTATTTTTTTAAGCCTTTCGAATAGAATTTAAAACAAAATTAACGAAATTTAACCGATCAAATGCTCGAATATATTCATATTAGATTAAAACAATAATTTTTCGTGAAAAAACGTTGTACCACAATAGTTTAATGCCTTAAATGATAGAAATTCGTAAGCAAAACAAAGAGTTAATTAGATATCTATCTGCCGATCTGTTAATTAATGGATATTGTTCGTTAAGAATTGGAATAAAAGCAACATATATATTAATGCACGCATTTCAAACCTACGTATAGGGCATCTACCAGTCAGGCAATCTCGACAGAGGCACTCTTACTTATTTTAAATTAAGCTGTAATTCTCTTTATATTCATACAGTACGAATCGTTGTAAAATTATTCCATATATTTTCAGTTGTCTTCACGAGGATGAGACAGTAAAAATTGTCAACCATTTGGCACGCATCAAACGTGTCAAAGTGACAATTCTTTATTTGCATATAGCTGACATCCTGCTCCTAGGAATTCGTGGCTGTGATGAATGACAACAAAAACAAAAACAACAACATCAACAATAACAACACTTGCTCCTGGTCACATTTGCGTGCCGCGACGTGAGTCGCATGCTGAGCAGAATAAGCGACACAAATATTTGGAGCGGGTGACTGTGTGGAGAATGTTGAAAAAGTGTCGCCATTGCCACAGGTAAAAATGTTCGGCATTTATCAACGACGCTTACAGTTTTTCCGTTTTTTGAATGAAGCTATCAAGTTGTGAATTTTGTTTATTTATCAACAGATTAGCGAACTGTTCCAGACCTGATTCCTCAACACACAATCTACCAGTTCGTTATTTTTACCTCCCGAACCCCTCTCACTCACTCTCTTTCAGTTTCTTTCTCTCGTCTCTCGTCTCAGTTGTCCTCCTCTGGCTTGACTTGGTTTAATGGTACATGAAATCGCAATAAACATGGCGCAGAGCGCAAACCTTTGCGTTCTGTAGTAAAGTATAACTTACCCCCAGAGCGCACATAAGTCAAAATTTCACTGTGTCGATGGGTGTGGGGGTGAGCGGGTGTCCGGGGGTTTTCGGAGGCTTACTGCCTGTAACTGCCACGCGTTAAGTGCAGGCGTTAAAGTTGCACAGTTGCTCAGCCATTCAGTCCCTTGGGTCTGTTTTGTACTGTGCCCAGACTCGAACTGTGAAATATGTTGCATACATTTCTGTCCAGACGGGCGACACATTTGCGGTTTATTGTAGGCGTGGCGCGTGCCAAACATGGCGCATACCCACACAAACATACACAAACACACACACAACCATTGTTACGCCATTTGCTTGCCCCTCACGTACGCAGTTGCCGCTGCACAGATCGAGGGCGGCGGAACTGCCCAGTCCCAGGCTCTCAGCGTGTACTTCATAATTCATTTTCTTTCTCTTTTTCATTATATTCATTTTCACATTTTCCTCTTTCACTTCCTTTTGGTATGTGTGTGTTTGTCCAGTTGTAGTGTCGTTGACAAATTGTTTTAAATTGCATTTTCATAACATCTTATGTGGGGGTAACATATTTATTCAAGAAGCTTAAATCGAATAAACACCATAATCGCCAAAAATATAGTTACTAGAAGCACGATAGCTTACTTCTTTTTCTTTAATATAATTTATGTATTTTCTATTATTTTATATATATACTAAAAGAGACCACAAGCTGTTGGGAGTTATTCGTTGGCCAGTTTAGGGTAGATTAGACGACCCGAAGTTTTAATTTTTACAATTTGGAGGTATTTAAAAGAATTAAATAATGTTGACCTGTGTACATTAAACGAAAGTCAATATACCACATTTTGTGTCTCTAGCTCTCATAGACTCTGAGATAAACGTGTTTATACATAATGATAAACGGACGGACAGACAGAGAGGCATGGCTTTACAGACTGGACTGTTAATGCTGAGCAAGAATATGCACACTTTATAATGTTGGAGATATATGTAAATTACAATATGTATATTAACGAAAATCAACGAAAACGCTTGTCGATAACTGTTAACAGTGATATCGATACAATATAACAGGAGGCCTAATTAGTTTCTTTGGATTGTCGCATTGATATTGCCTCGAAATAGACGCAATGTGATTGTCGAACACTTCCACTTAACACTAAGAGCCCGTCCTGCAGGCTTTGCATGTTAACATTGACAACAAAACCATTTTGGTGAAGAGCAATCAAACATCAGGCAAATGATGGGAATGGCGATGGCCATTGCCAAATATCCGCCGCTCAAACATCAATGAAATTCCAATAGGGCAATCGTTATTTGATGGCAAAACCAACCGTTACAATTCATCAAACAACAAATGGATATTACTTCATCGAAAACAATATTAAATACTTGAACGTAAAACATGGACGTACCACAATGGCCGGCAGCGTCAGGCGCAGGATCAGGCCCAGACATTGACACTGACGCAGACACTGGCACAGAGGCAGTGGCAGGTCCATTCCCATGCCCGTTCCCCGGCGTTGAAACGACCTCAAAGTGTGTCCACATGGAAGCGACTGACTGCTGCGAGCCTGAAACAAAAGTAAATTGCAATAAAAGTTTGTAATTGACAAACGGACAACAAACAAAACTCCACTCCAGTTGCCAGTTGCCAGTTGCTGGACATTGGTTGTTGGATGTTGGATATGGATGTCGTTTGGTCTGACTGGCGGCGTTCCATGTTTTCGGCGACTAAACAACTGGCGCGCAAATCAACAAAAACCGATTTTCAGAAACAGGAAGCCAACAGCGGCTACATTGCCGTTGACAGACATGCAGCCCGACGCCCTTTTGGGGCAGCCCCCACTGTCCCCAACCCTTAGCTCTCGTCCCCTAAATGTGCCCGCATATTGACTTTGTGCGAGGGGCACAAACGATTTCGGATTTAAGAAATAAAAGTTTAGTGCCTCAACGAGCAAATCTGCAGCCACAATGGCAAACAGCTAACCAGACTACACACAGATACGCACACACACACACACAAACACACACACGCGCACACCAAAAACAACAACAACAATGAGCTAGAGCAAACAAAAGACGCGTCTGTGGTTGGCCCCGACTGGGTGGATGTGGCAAGCTGGGGATGCGGCTGTCGAACGGCAAAATGTCGGCGGTTACTACTTTGACTTGTTTACCCCGCCTGAATCGGAATCAGAAACTGAACAGAACTGCTGCTGGGCACAGAATTGGTATCGGCCACGGGTCTGGGACTGGGTCAGAAGCAGGGCTCATTGGTTTCGGGCATCGTCTGTAAATAGACTCCACTCGATTTGCGATATACAAGCAAGAAGCGCCATGACGAACGACAAGTGCAATCGCTTGGCACTGTTGGCGACAAGCTGCTTCCAGTTTCGGGGTGTGAAAACTATGAACACAAAACTCAAAGCAGAATATTTTTCAAAATTCTACATACGTTTAATAAATTCTTTAGTTGATGAACAGTTTCTACAGCATTACATATACATATATGCCTATCTCAACCTATGGCCAAATAGTTAAGCGCACATATAATGTATTATTCCCACACCTGAAGTCAAATCAGCCATCAAGATAGGTAGCTCATAGCCTACGGCCTTTGACCATTGTATTTGCTTGTGCCGCACATAAATGTTAATTGTTTAATTTGCATGCCCATCGTACAGACCCGTGGTCTGAGAAATTAATGAATTTGTGATTAGCAGCCACGGAAACATGTTGTGTGAGTAGGAATTTGCATGGCTGGCAAAACTCATTTCAATTTGCGGCCTGGGGCAACCCGCTGCGTGTTGATGTGAGTCGCTTTAAGTCGGTGGCAAGAAATGGCCAGCGGAAACTTGACTCAAAAATTAACGATTTTCATACAGTCGCAACGAGTCTAGAGCTTTCGGCCCGGCTCGACCAACGATGCGCTAATTTGACAAACCCACATGAGGTCCTTTGGCTTCCAAATACTATTCACGAATACGTGAACACAACTCGTGTACTACTCGAATGAGCAGCCCTTGAACGGACGCGCACTTAACGTGCGCCACAGGAGGCTGTCGTAATTGCCAGTCCAGCTCAGACGTTGAATGCCCCAGAACAAAATCGTCCACACAATCAAATCGAAATGAAATTGACCATTAATGGCTGCGTTTCGGTATGTGTTCGTGTGTGAAATTCAGTTTGGGTTTGGCTATTTACGACGACATATGTACATGCAACTGTCAACGTATTGAATAACCTGGTGAATACCACGATTTCTCTGCCGCTTTGCCATTGACAGCTATTGTGCATGATGTTGACATATGAACGGGGGTCAATTGACACCCAACCGAAAAGCTTTTAGCTTATGTGTATTAAATGTAATAAGTACACATCTAAAAAAAAACAGTACTCATAGCTCATTCATAACTAAATCTACATTTAAGCTCTAAATATAACACACATGCATATTTTATACTCCCAGCTCAAGTTTTTAAGCAAGACGTCTATAAACTAACTAAGTATAAACTTAAAAAAATTGAGCATGTCTTCGGTATGTTTTGCGAACTTTCCAGTTGTATCACCATTAGAATTTGCTATTTACTTCATGTTTTAAATCTAACTAGCCAGGGACTCGACTCCGAATGCCCATGGATAAAACTTTTCTATTCTTGTTTGCTTGAAATTCTTTTTTGAAAACAAGACTGTAAACCAATTGACGTAGAGTCAGCTGTGCATTTTGCTGCATTTGGCAAACTCATTAAAAACTTTTTAGGATGAACGAAAAATAAAAAAATGAATAGAAAGAATTAATAATACCCGACAAGCAGATATCACTCCGGGCGTCGCTGAATTACATGTGAACTTCCTTCAATAAACACAGACACAAAAACACAGAACAGGAGAATATATCCTAAAAGTAATATAGATATTTATCGACTGAGTTAGAGAGACTTGTGCGGATCGACTTGACTAACCAAAAATATTTAAGCTTCATTGACGCAGGTATGCCTTCTTCAGCATTCTTCTGAGTCCAGGGTATAAAAACAGCAAACAGCGACACGTCACACACACTCCCCAGTTCACCCACCTGCATATTTGGCCAACACTTTGTCCGCGATGCTGAAAAACTTGTTTTGCACATAACTCAAACGTTTTGTCGCTCGCTGCTCCGATAATTTCCTTTTTTCCGCTTTTTGTTTAAATAATTATTTTTCTGGATGGTGGAAAATTTCTCGGTGCTCATTTTTCACGGTTCAGAAATGCATAAACTTTACCATGGGGCTGGAACAAGCAGCATTTTTATAGCGCATTTAATTAATTAGTCATAAAGTTTTGTTCTTCCTTAGAAAGTTGGTAGCTCGCCTTCGCGCGGCGCTTTCATCAACTTCTTGGGGAGGCACAAGTCATTATCCCTTTCTGTGTTCAGCTTCTGCTTATTATCCTGCGTCAACGACAGCTCATCATCATGCGCTCGATTATGCCAGGACCCTGATCCCAGCGCGGACAGCTTCAGGCTCCCTTTACGCTTACCAAACACAGTCCCAGGACTACTCGGCTCACGAGCGATAGAAGAAACCAACCCAAGCCACATAACTTTTGGATATTCGCCGTTTGCGTAAAATATTCATGTGCATTGCTAAGTGGCCCGCGAAAGGTAACTCCTCGTGGACCTGGAACGGAATTTGGCTGGCTCCCCGGCGATTATATTGCCGCTTTGTGGCTGAAATATTCATAAAATGCTTAATTAATTGATTAATGGCCTCAAAGTCAAAAGTTTTGCCAAAAAGCTATCGCAAGGTATCAAATTACTCATAAACGTCTCCCCCTGTTGCGTGGGAGGTGGGTAAGAAATATATTACTTAGCTTGTGGTACGCCTGGGAAATGGCCAACAAAATTTGGTTTGTTTTAGCAAGCGCAGCAATTGTGCATTTTAAATGTGGCCACAAAATTATAGCCAAAGTAATGTTAGTTAAGAATTATGGATGTTCAATTCCGTAAACGAGCTTCTAAGCTAGCGAATCGCGATTCATATATTTTGAAGAGATTCGTTGTAGGGGGAATTGCGAAATTAAATTAAACTAAAGAGATGACAGAAGATCTGAACAATATTATAGATGAATTTTAAGAAAATCAGCCCTATTCCATTTTTTCCAAGTTACCAACCGTCTTTTGGAGCAATCTGTGAGCCGCGGGAACGCCCATCAGAAATGTGTTAAAATTCTGCACAACGACACTTGCACGTAACATGTCATGCTAACATATAATTATATTATTGTTTTTTTCTTTGTTTTACACCAGACTCTCCATTTCCAGCCAATGGACTTCAATTGGTAACCCGACACGAGCAGCGAGGTCCCACCCGGCCTCCACCCCTTCGGTCATATAACAAAGATCGCTGCGTTGATAAACTTGAACGCCCCGGGGGCACGGCCACATGGACGCACTGCAGCACACAACGGCAAGAATAATAATAATAATAACAATAATAACAACAACAATAGAGAAACGCACGTGTTAACAAGGATGCGATAAAAAAAATAAAACGTTGTGAGGAAATAAACGCTAGAATGACAGGAAATATGTGTGCGTGACATTGTAACTTGCCCGGAGTGTTGGTCCTTGTCGCACCCTCCATTTCAGGTTCTTTTGCTCTCATTGTGGCTGTTGCTGTTCGTCACACGAAAGCAACAGGATACGCTATACCTGTGCCGCAACATAGCCAGTGTGTATAAATGCATGGTTAAGTTAGAAAGAATTAGCCAAGCTTCGTCTGGACATGAATAGCTCGTGTAGGTTTCAAGATGGGCGGGAATTCAGCATGACATGTGTCTGGCATTCGACATGACATGCGATGGTCAGCAAAATTGTATATGTGAATTTATAATATGGTATAACGTATGAAATATAATTTTAAAAATGTATCTATATTGATTCTTTTTTTGTCAAAATATAGTTTTAATATGAATATTCTCGTCAGTCCATCTACCTCGCCCTCTCTTATCACCAATTGTATTGCATACATACATAACTAAGCTGAAGACCCCTTCGGTTTTCACACTTTAAACATTTTAAGAACACAAAGTTGCCATGGAAGTAGTATACATAGTTCCCTTGTTTTCTGTGTTTTGTCTGACTTATCAAGCGTAAAAACTCGTTATAGCTATACATATTTTCATACTTGCTACCAACACGCTGTATTTACAACTGCAATGGAAATTTTTTACGATCCAACGCTTGGCCATAATTCTATTTTTGATATTTCCTTTTTTTCTGAATTTTTTTTTTATTGCTTGGAGCTTTGTTCAGCGGCCCAAGCGTTTTGCTTGTATATACATTCTTCCAGCTGCCGACTGTAGCTCTTAATACTTAAGAAAGGCATTTTACATTTTGATTGGGACATTATATCTATGTATCTCTCTGACAATCTGCCTCACTTCAATTAGCAGCGCAATGAAGTTTTGATGCAACTTTGTCGCTCAGCTTTATGGTCATGCTAATGGCCAATCCTTTCCAGTTGGCTGCCAAACATTTCATGGGCATTTTTATGGCCAGTATCATTAGGAAGGAGTGTGTGCATATACCCTGCATGTGCGTGCAATTGATGATGTGATGTCTATTAACCTGTTGTACCTTGGGATATTTCTGAACTAGAAAATATTGGATACCATTATAATAAATATAGCTATGTGAGTGTATATTAAGAGAACGAGCTGTCTATAGGGTATAACATTGTCAATATTCGTAGAATTTCGCGCTCTTAAAAAGTTTGTTTGCCAAACAATGTGATTACAAATTATGATTTATGCTGGCGTTAAAACTGGACTCATTCACTCATTGTCCAAGCTACGCCCACCATTAATATCGCGTTTACTCCATTCCAAACAACCCTAAGCATTTATTAGTCGATTTTCCTTCGCTTGGATGAATTGCGGTTTTAATAAAACGACTCATTGCTTTTGTTCTCTGGAATTTTTTTAACGCAAGTTTCTCAGTTGGGCAAACTAGCGAACGGCCAGTGGCAGTTGGAGTTGAGGTTGGAAATTGAAGCCAGCCAGACATTGGCTAGACCATATATCATATATGTAGCCTTCATTGTGCGCAGTGCAGCGGCAACTCTGGCAACCGCCTTTTGATAGACGATTTATTAAGCGTTTATTATTAGTTTTTGCCTTTGGTGGCTTTTCGGCTATTTTTGATTACAAATTCCAACGATGGCGTTACACGTCCTTATCCTCTGTGTTTTTAAAATGGTTAGAGAAAGGGTATAAATAAATAATCTAGAAGAAAACAGCTGAATACATAAAAACTTCATAAAACTAAACGTACATGAAGACACATATCTTTGTAATTAAACATCGAACTAAAAAATAAAACATACGATATAATATAAACACTACACTAGTTAAGAATATTCACAGAGTATCTGCTAGTGAGCATTTTTAACTTTGTTTATAACTTTGTTTCCCCTAAAGTATCAAAAGATGAAATGAGTTTTCAACATTTTTATATACATTAATTTGAAGAAATGCAATTTATATGCAGTTTCGGCTCATTTGTTCTTCTAAAGACAGAAAGTAATTGCAAGCCAACGCTCGGTATCTCCATCTTGCGCTATAATAAAAATTTGAATTGAGGAAAACTGTAAAATGGCGAGCGGCTTTATTTATGCAACACAAAAGCCGTGCAACAATGATGCAGCAGTGGCAACAACAAAGGCGCAGCGCTGTCTTTATCTGCTCAATATGAAGCTTAAGTTGTTGCTTCCTGGGAATGGGGCTGAGAGATTCTGATTGTAAGCATCTGCAAAACAATTAACTCAAGGGAAGGTAAATATGGTGGTTGCTGCTCACCTGCGTACGCAGGAAACACAGCATTTTTTGTGCATGTTAAATGTAGCCAGACTGTTGTTTATATCCTGCAAAGGACCTCGGCTCGTCTGTCTGCTGGCAAACAATGAAGCTCAACATCTTTGTGTCACAGTTGCTCCTTTAAAACATAAGCTCAGCACATTTGCATGTGACACATCGGCGGCAGCAGCTCAGGGTCAACGTCAGGCGGTCAGGGCCTGGCTTACAGTCCAGACTGGCATTAAACTTGCATGAGGGCATTAAGAAATCCATTTAAAGGCAGCACATCATATCACGCGTGCATTGCATTGTCTCGACTGCACCCAATTTTTTTCCGCCCGACGCGTCGTCTGTCTAGACCGGCCTGGAAGTCAAAAGCCATTTGTTTGAGCAAACTTTTAAATCGCTGTGCTAAACAAATAATTGATTGAATTTCCGCTGGCAAATTGCTGTAATTTGTTGACATTTCGTAAATTGTTTTCAAATTGCTTGCACAATGTCAAATTTAGTTTACTGTCACATTAAATTGCTCGTGCTTATGTAGTTGCAGGTGTTGCGTTAAAATACATATGTGTATTTTACACATTATAATATGCACACGTGTCGTATGCGTAATTTGGCTTATCGATTTGCCCTGTCAACGGCATGGCGTTGTTTTTAAGTTGTCCTTCACAACTTTTGATTCGTTGCGAATTTTTAAAAATTTAAAACGGGAATAAAAAATGTTCTTAGCTTGAAATTTCCATATTTGATATTTGCATTGCACTCTAGAAACACGATATTTTGTGTAAATATTATGAAACAAATAGGGATGCGTAACGTGAAAGCAGAAAAAAAGTGAATTTTTAGCTTTAATTAAAACCACAAAAATATTCGAGAAGTTAGCGAATTGGATGAATATGTGCTTGTTATTACGCTATGTTCAAAAAGGAAAAATAATATATTTTTGTGTTTGTATTATTTCCTCCTGCGTCGTTTTGTCCGTATTAAAGTTATTGTTGGGCTCTTTTAAAGGCAGAGGAATATATAAATCAGAGTTATTTTGTTTAAAGCAATATGGAGCTAGTTACTAAATTAAAAAAAAAAAAAAACAATTATTTTTTTGTCACAGTTTAAATCATGTTTCCTTTCCAATGCCCTACAAGCCAGCTTTAAATATAGTAATTATTTATGCAATATGATTTTATTACCCAACCAAACGCAAATCAAACATAAAGTTAACTGCAGCTTCAACCCCAAAGTAAATCGTCCCAAGTTTATGTCACTGGAAGTATCTTTGCAGAATGCCCTGTTCGTAGAGGCGCTTCACATCAGTGCCACCTCCCACAAATTTACCATTAATAAAACAACGCGGCACTGTCCGAGCTCCGGTTAGCTCGCCAAGCACCGCCTGGATATCATCAGCATCGTTACGCAGGTCCAGCTCAATCACGGTCATTTGTACATTCAGCTTACGAAACTGCTCCTTGGCCATGCTGCAGTAGGGACAATAGGTCTTGCTAAAGATCACGACTTTGTTGTCGGCTATCGTTTGGCGTACAAACTGTGCCTGCGAACTGTCCATGTTGACATACATCATCGGTTTTTGCATAGAACTCACTACAGTTCCCATTTATCAAATGTGATATTAAGAACTGGTCGATGGGTTCAAATATGGAAAACTATTTTTTTAGAGTTGAGAAATGTTGAATTTTGAATCGAAATTTCTAAGAATTTCTAAACATATTGCAGATGAATTGTGTTTCAGCTCTGTTTGCTATGATTTAAAATCTTCATAAAGTTCCTCATCATCTGTAAATAAAAGAAACTTCAAAGTTACAATTGCAACGTTTTAAGTCCCGCCATTATCAAATCGAGTTATTATTAGAGTAAACAATTTGAGAAATTTAATAATGAATGGGAAACTATACCAACATTCCTAGAATAGATCAATTTTATTTATTCTAGAAGAAATAAAAAGTTCTTAACTGTGAACAATTTGATATGTACAATACATAATGAATAAATCCGATACGATCATCTATATATATATCATCTTCTGTCTACTTTGCAGTCCATCATGGAACATTATGAGCCTCCCGTGCACCAAATGAGTTTTGACACTTTCACTTCACTCAAAACACATACACAGCACAAACATATCATCAACACCACCTAAAAATATGTAAGAATGTCTAGAGTACTCGACTAGGAGATACCCTATACCCAGCAGTACTGGCCTAACATACGTTCCTATTTAAGCAACTAAGTATTGATAATTATCGATTTCGGTATGTTATACCATATCTTCCAAATTCAAATACTCTAGCTCAAATAGTCTCAATAACCGCGGTAATACAGACAAATACAATTATTGAGGTGGAAGACACTTCCTTCTACCAATTATATACATTGTCGACGGGTACAGGATATAACTAACCACAAAACTAACAGCACTTAGACAGCAGCTAACCCGACAAGCTGGCGACACTTTCTAATGAAGTGGCGTTTACTTATTTATGCACAGTCTGAACCCCAACTAATGGCTAAAACATCAAAGCGCATTTAGTAATGTTAGAGCCAAGCGAAATCTTCAATGGCCAGGCCTTTAAATATTAAATAACCCCAGGCAAAGTCATTTGAAGTGCACACGGAAAATAATGCATTGAGTAGGAAGGTGGGGGCTGATGGGGTTGGGCTGGCCACTTGCTGCAGACATATGGGAGAAAATCCTTTTCATTAACGTGACGCTTGTTGCTGACTTCCTGTCCCGTGTCCGTCGCCTGCCGTGTCCTGGTGCCCGCTGCAGACGCTGCCAAGTTCCGTGTAACAATGTAATTTATTGTGCGCACCTTTGTTTTCAGTCAACACGCTCTCAACGCTGGGTAATAAAACAATTTCTCAGCTTATATGCAACCTTGTTGCTGTCCCCCTATTCGCCCTTCAGCCCAAACGCAGATCCTCGGCGTGCAACAATTTTGCACTGTAAATGGATTATCCTTGAGTAGTCGCTTGGTTGCTCATCCACTTTGAAACCAGCCTGACCAGGTGGGCCAAGTCATTATGGCTTCTTGTCTGGTTTTATGGTTGTCTTCTAAGCAACTAAACTTTTACGTACTGACATATGCAAATGTCTTGGCCAAGTAATTAAAACCAAACGCATGCTAAAAGCGCATTTATCGCATGCGATAAAAACGTGTCTCTGTCTTTCTCTCATTTCCCTTGCGACTGCGCAAGCTCTTTGGCAAAGCAATTCGCTTTCAGAGCACGGTAGGAACTCTCTCTATGCTCTCTATTTTTCTCTCGCTATCTCTATCTCTCTTGCTTTTGCTTTGCTCAGAAACAGCTGTTCTGCCGGAAATTCTAAGTTGTGACCTTTAATTGTTTTGGGAAATTTACTTACAATCATTTTAAATTGTTCGCGGTTTTTCCCAAGGATTAGTACTTAATTTGATTAGGCCAATTCAACTGATGGGCGGCGGAGGTCGGCAGATGGGCGGCGTATTTTTATTGTCGCATTGTTGATTTTGTTGATTTTTCAGTTCGTTGGAGGGTGCCATTAAAATTTCATTGTGCCATTTTTGGCTTCAATTCAGGACGATAACTATTATTTGGCCAATTAAACTTAAAATGGCTATGGAGTAAAATTGTTGGCACTTTCAATGCTGCCATAAAACCAATTTGCTTAATAGATGGTTAAAAAGATTATATGGTTTACTGGGGTGGAAAATATTATATTAGTTATTGGTTAGCCGCAAATGGGAAATGGCAAATATGTAAACGTTTAAAATAGAGTGATTGATGTTTTATTTTTTTAAGTTTTATTTAATTTATAGAACTCTAAATTATACTAAAAAGCTAGCCTGTATAATGGCTTGTAATTAAGAAACTGTTTTTTCTTTTCTCTTCAACACATTGAAAAAATATCTGATGGATTTATAAGAAGTTTTTCCATTCCACTTTTAATTTTGTCTTTTTAATCTTCTTTTTAAAATTCTTTTTATATTTCTTAACCATTTTCAATGGACTCAATTAATCAATATCGGATTGAAACACTTAAAAAATTAAATTTAATGAAAATAATCAAATTCGCACTTCACTTTAGTAGAACTTTCAAGCGCATGACGTTTACAGGCACACACTCCAAAAATTACATATATAGTACTTTCCCCTAATCATAGATTGATTAGATAAATTTGACATTTAATTAGATACGCAATCGAACACCTCCTTTCTGCCCAGTTGCGAATTGTATATATACATTACTTGTCAGTTGTACCCCCCACAGTCAATTGCCCATTGCCCATTGCCCATTGAACTAATGAGAAGTAGTTAAGTCCGCTTTTAACGAGCCAAGCTTCAGTTAAACTACCTTCAGATCAAACTATTTATTTACTTGGCATTGCTGGCTAAACAATAGCTTTGTGCAGCCTAACGGCTAATCGACAACAATTTGTCTGAAGTAGGTACAATTGAGGCTAACACAGCCTGCCAAATTAATATCCAATCATTAAGTCAACAATGCAAACTTCAAAGGGGGCAACTAACGCAATTTCTGTCGCAGCACTGACCTATAATAAGTGAGTCGATGTTCCCGTCCATGTTCAGGTCTTGCAAATTCCAGAGGAGCACGCACTGAGCAGCCGCGACTACAGCAAAAGGGTTGGCATTGCATGCCTGTAAACGCAACTGACAGAGGGTGCCGATATACCCATTCCCCCCAGTCTAATCATTAATATCGGTCATTCGGAAGGGTTGCTGGCCGTTGAGTGTGGCAGCTCTGGAGATTGGCGACGGCGTTGACTATCGACTTTCAGCCACTCATTTCTTGGCTAATTGCGCGACGTCAAATGGCCCGGGTACTTTGAACTCTGGAATTGCCTACTTGCAGACGCTGTGAATGTTCAGGCACATTTCGTTACGGCTTAATTGATTAGCTTAATTTGCATTTAATGTTCATAATTTTTAAAACGCGAGAACAGTCTGCTGCTACTTTTGCTGCTAATGCTGCTGCTGCTGCTGCCGCCTCCATTTGGAAAGTTTGTTATAAATTTCTTCATTAAATATTTTCATTCATGTGCCGCTTGCACACCCCAAAAGGGTTTCGCGCAAGGATTCCCTTAGACAGAAAGTGAAATTAAATGAACTGGCTGCGCTGTAATTATTCATGTGGGGATTTCTTAGACGGAGCCGCCTGCTAAGCCAGCCAGATAAATGCGAAGGCATCGCTTCTCGTCCCAAGCAGAAGGTAACCCTCAAGTTATTTGCATAGTTCTTGGAAGTGGTTTTCTTGCGTAATAACTCACTGGATGCGAGTAGTAAGTAGGTAGTTTTGACACAGGTGCCTCATTTAAAATGGTTTGCCTGAAACGCTGGGTTAATGTTAAGTAAACGAAAAGTACAGTCAAGGCTGAAGACCTAATGTTTATAAATGCCAGTTTCATTAAGTCAGGTTTCACAAACAGATCCCATGGGTTGGCAGCTGCGATTTTCTGGATTTGACAAATTTGGTTTGAATTAAAATTACTTGGCAAGGCGATTGCTCGGCTTGAAATCATCTCAAAACAAAGTTTTCAGACCTTAACATCCATATCTTCATGAAAATATTCGAAGCTCTTACTTTATAATAATTTGTATGTTCACAAAAACTCATTTAATTTGGAATCTTCATTTTACGCTAATCATTGAAAACTTTTGCAACATCGCACTTCATATCCTAAACCGAAAAGTCTGTGAATGTACACAAAAAAAACTTTGCACAAAAGCATTTAGAATTATGAACTTGTAGCATTGTGCTGTACCCTACCGATATTCGAAACAGTTTCAACAAACCATTTGCCAAAAACCAGTTTACCACTTTTATCAACTGCTTTCTGAACCAGCTCCCAAACAATGCGTTAAGGAAGCCCACGCCAAGTCACAATAAAAGTCTAGACGTTGGTAAACAACAAACAAAAGACTCTATAGAACAGTGCCTGGACAAAAAGCAAAAGTGCTGGCAAAAAGTTTTCAACATTTTCAATGCTAGCCTGCATAAAATCTGCATAATTGACATTTGATTGTGCGCCCTAAAAGACGTGGCAGAAGACAACGCGCTCTCATAACTATTCCACTATCGATATTAGCATTTTCTCGCAACGAATGCGAACTCCTAGGAACTACAGTGAAAGGGAAACGAATCATTAATACACTTCCGAATGGTCGCAAGCAAACAAAATATAATTAAACTACATGATAATATGATTTTGATTTATAGCAGTGCAAAATAGGTAAAAACTATTTTATGCTTTTATTTATATTAGTTTCTATTAGATAAGACGCTTCGATATAAAGTAAATGTAACCTGCAAACGTTTTTTAAGTGAAGTAGATCAAATAATTTTATTTTTTATTCGATGGATAAAAGACGGATATGTAGAGATAGTATATATAGATAGTATGTACTTGGATGTATTTTAATAAAACAACCAAACAAAAACATAGTCAAGACGATTTTTTTTCTTTACAGTAATTTTTATACTATTTATATTTTGTTAATGTAATTTCTTTTAAAACATTAGAAAGAAAAAAAAGGAAATTAATATTTAAAAAATATTTACTATATTTTTATACTGTCTTAGCAAACATATCAAGTGCTATTTTTTTTTAAATAAAAAAAAGAAAGTAATATATATAGCATATATACTTGGCTATTTTGTAATAAATAATAAATGCACCCATAACCAAGAAGTATTTGTTAGTGTGCTTCCCATGCGTAATCTTTT